GATCTCCTCGGCTTGCAGCTACATAACTGCCACCTCTGCCTACATGGCCACACGGCATTCTCCCTGTCTCTGTCTTCACATCTTCTTATAAGGACACCAGTCATACTGGATTAGGGACCCACACGACTCCAGTATGACCTCATCTCAACTCATCACATCCTACAGGACTCCTTCCAAACAAGGTCACATTTTAACCTCAACATACCTTTTTAGGGGGATACAATTCAACTCTTAAAAAATGCTTGTCAGCCCTGAGTGGTGCAGCTCAGTGGATTGAGCGCCAGCCTGCAAACGGAAAGGTCTCGGGTTTGATTCCCGGTCAGGCCACATGTCTAGGTTACGGGCCAGGTCCCCAGATGGGGGCGTGGGAGAGACAACTGATCAATGTTCCCCTCGTATGTTTCTCTCCCTCTCTTTCTCCCTTCCTTCCCTCTCTCTAAAAATAAACTAATAAAATTTTGTTTTAAAATGCCTACATCAAAACATTTAAGTAGGCGTAAACAGTAGAAGGTGAAAGTCTCCCTCTCGTAACCTAGGCCTAAGCCGATCAACACAGGTTACTCAAAAACAGCATCAACATCATCTGTCAGCTTGTTAGATGTACAGTCTCAGGACCCACCCACACCTGCTGAATCAGGATGTCCGGTTGAACAAGATCCCCAGGTGGTCTGTATGTGCATCAAAATTTGAGAAACAATGGCAAATTACATTGTTAAGACAAAGACGCCAGTGACAAAAAAAGGAATCTGTTAAGTCATGACCCCAAAATGGCCAAGCTGATTTGCTGCTTGTTGGAAAGAGGTGGCTGTGTAGCTTGGCTGTACGTCAGAATTATCTGGGGACCTTTGAAACTCATGCCAAGGCCCGAGGCAGGACCCAGACCAATTGGACCAGAATCTTTGGGCTGAGTTTAGGATCAGCAAATCCCCTTAAGAAGTCCTCAGGTGACTGTTAAGTACAACCATGGCTGAGAATTATTAGGGTAGAGCAAGGTCTGGAGGGAAGGGAAAGGGAAGTTAATGTTTAATGGGTACCGACTTTCAGCTTTGCAACATATGTTTTATATATATATATATATAGAGAGAGAGAGAGAGATCTATAAATATCTCTCTATTGCACAATCATGTAAATACACTTAACACTACTAAACTATACATTTAAAAACAATATGATAAATTCAATGTTATGTGTTTATCCCGATACAACAGACAAAATAAAATATATGGATATGTTATTTTAGTTTTTTAAATACATTTGGTGTTCTAAAATGGTTTTAAATATAATTATTTTATGGGTTCACCAATATAAGAAAAAACTATTTTTCAATCAATAAATATTTCAAAATCACATGATTTAAATATTTTACACCCCTTTTTACTGTCCCAAGTGCTCTGGTTTGAACTTCTTCCTTTGTGTGTACATCTCCCCCCTGGGCCTTTCCTCATGGGAGCAAGCAATAGGTCTGGCAGATGACCCCTAAATCACCAAACATGATGCCATTATATTATAACACTTAGTCCACAAACACTCTCAACATGAATACGCTTAGCCTTGATCAGATCCCCAAAGCCCAAAATTCAGAACTCCTGCTTGCAGATGGCATCCTTGCTGGATATACTGTCCTGGAAGGGTGTTCCCATGGAACCCTAGGAATTCTTTTATGAATTACCTCCATGCAGCCTATAAGCCTGTGCCACTGTCTCTTTCATTAAGATTGCAAGCTTTTTGAAAGCCAAGAAGAGTCATATGTATCTTTATTTCTCCAGCACGACAATGTTTTCTGTGAAACACCAATAAACACACGACCAAATGAAAGAACTTTATAGCCCCTTCCACTTGACACACCACTGATACCTTTACAGAGATGAAATGTTTTTCTATCGGCACATCATTTGGAAGGATGAGAGGATGCAAGCAGTGAAAAAAGAAAACAGAATTCTACTCCTTATCTTCTCAAGTGACATAATAGTCATGAACTCAAGACTTGTAAGTTTTCCGGACTAGACAGCTCACAACCTTTTCTGCAATTCCAAGCTCTACGTACACAGTTATTGCCAGGCAATCACAAACACTTCAGAGAATCTCCAGACCTCCTAGAGTTGTCTCAAAGACAAGCTACTTAAGGGTTATATAAAGAACAGACACTGCATTTCAGAAACCCCGAAATACAAACAAGCAATGCAAAGTGCAGTAATTCTGGAAAGCAATGGTTCTAACAAAAACAACTAAAGGAAATAAGGGAGAGACTCACGTATTAAAATGCAGTTGGAGGAAAGTGGACAAGAGATGAAATTCAGCTGAGGCCATCAATCAACTCTAAGAACTCGCTCATTACAGAATTTAAGATAGCATGGTGCGGATTTCCCCCGATATTTCAATTACACTGACAAATTTGTATTTGTATTGAATTGTACATTCCTCATCATCTTTTTTTTTACAGTAAGTATTTTGTGACTATGAAACAGTCAGAGAGCATACAGTGTTTTATTACAAAGTGACTTCAGAGGTCAGATAGCATAGTGGTGAAATAGCGAAGGGTCTGGAGCGACGTGTTATTTAACCTTTGTGCGTCTCACTTTCTTGATATATAAACCAGAGATGGTTAATAGTAGACATGTGAGAGCAGCATTACCTAATAGAACTTTCTGTGACCATGAAAATGTTCTATTCTATACTGCCTAAATGGTACGCACTAGCTACATGTGGCTATTCCAGATTTGAAATGTGGCTAGTGTAACTAAGAACATTTTCATTTAAATTAATTTAAATCTAAGTTAAAATAGTCCGTGGCTAGTGGCGTAGTTTTATACGGTTGTAAGAATCACATGGGCTAAGCATCGCATTCACTGTCTGGCACGCAATTATCAATAATTTTGAGCTATTCCTATTTCTCAGCATGTCACATCATTAAAGATGTCATATGCAAGTGTGGATTACAATTTTCTTCAACTCTTTCTGTGGATAATTATTTTTCCTACTATTTATACTTCCAGGCTATTTCTTTCCCCTTCCAGATCAGTCTGTACAGCAAACCCCACCCCCCCTTCCTGGGCCCAACGCATGCGCTGCATGCTCATTTTCTCTGAAGATCTTGCAGACTATCAAGGGCACATTTGGTCCCGGCTCCCTTCAGATGCAACCCCCTGCCCCCGCCCCCAAATGTTACAGGCTTTGGAATGTTAGTAGGGTATAGTCATTTCCCGTTTGGATAGCTTTTAAGAGGATTTTATTATTGCACTTGACATACCCAAATTGCTTACTCATTCTAAATCTGAAAACATCTCATCAGGCTTACAAACACTACACTAAAAATTCCCATAATCTGCCCTGGCTGGCGTAGCTCAGTGGATTGAGCGTGGGCTGGGAACCAAAGTGTCGCAGGTTTGATTCCCAGCCAGGGCACATGCCTGGGTTGCAGGCCATGACCCCCAGCAACCGCACATTGATGTTTCTCTCTCTCTTTCTCCCTTCCCTAAAAATAAATAAATAAAATCTTTAAAAAAATCCCCATAATCTTGTTTTTTGAATGGCGTTAGAATGAAGTTAGAAAGGGTTATTGTTTGCTTCCCTAGTATATATGAAAAGGCAGCCCCTTGTGTTCTAGCACATATTTGTTACCTTTGAAAAGGCTACAAGCTCTGAATTAATAATGCTGTGCATCTCTTTTGATACAGGGATACTAGTCTGTTTCCAAAACCGTCCCACAATATCAAATCAGCTTTTTCTAGCGCAAGGACTCCTAGAACAATCAACCTTGATAAAGATTGTTCTTCCTACTAGACAGGATAGAGCTGAGGATATGAGAACGGTTGTCAGAAGAGAATTGCAAGTCTGAATTCTTATATCTCAGAAACCCAAAAGATATGGCCCTGACATTCATAATTTTACATTCTAACACAGGAGCTATGAGGAAATGGGTTAAATAATCTGACATACACCTCTAACCCAATGAGGAAGGCATAATTGAACAAGTAGCCTAGTGTAATACTAAGGGAGAGAGAAAGGAAGATTTTTTTAAAAAACTGGAAAAAAAAGCTGATCTCCAATAAAATACTATGAGATATGACCTAATTTGAGTTGGAAGCTAAAAAACCAGGAAGGAAGCCGAGCGAGCCAGGGAAAGGTGTGAAAGGCGCCTGCGGGGAGTCCGAGGGCGTGTGGCTCCTCCCTCCCCTCCTTTCAGCAAATGCAAGCACCCCCCCACCCCCCCACCCCATCTCTGTACTAAACTCTTCCTGTCCTGGGAATGCATGTGGACAATGGGCAGCTCCGTTCTCTGCGATTCTTTTTCCCATTTCTAGGAGTGCGAAATCACTTTACCTGCAAGTGATAGAAACCTTCATTTCTGTTAACAGGTTATTTATTTCTGAAGCGATAGGCAGTCCCAGGAAAGGGTGAGTTTAGGCTTGATCTGTGGCACAATAAAATGATCACACATTTCTTTGAAAGCCTAATCTCCTGTGATTATAAGTGTCAACTTTTTATTTTATTAATTTTTTAAAGATTTTCTTTGTTTTTATAAACAGAGGGAAGGGAGGGGGAAAAGAGAGGGAGAGAAACATCAATGTGTGGTTGCCTCTTGTGCACTTCCTACTGGGGACCTGACCCGCAACCCAGGCATGTGCCCTGACTGGGAATCGAACCAGTGACCTTTTGGTACACAGGCCCGAGCTCAGTCCACTGGGCTACACCAGCCAGGGCTCAACTTTTTAAATTAGGGCCACCGACTTCTTTCTAGTTGGACAGCAAGAGAGCCTCTTCCTCGCCAAAGAACTGAGTGCTTCTCCTCAGTCCAATTGGACCCAGTGCAGGTCCTATGTGCATCCCAAACCAGTAACAGTCGCCAGAGAAACGTCTTGGACTCACTGACATAGACGAGTCAGGACTAACTTCTGGAACTAGGAAGGGAGTCCACTTCCCCAATCCCATGAACTGTGGGAAAGGAACTTTAAGAGAGAGAGAGAGAGAGAGAGAGAGAGAGAGAGAGAGAGAGAGAGAGAGAGAGTGAGTGAGTTCTGGTACAAGAAAAGGAAGGAATCGATACACAACAGGCAATCGATAGAGTGCCCTACACTTCACTCCAGACTGACTGGGTATCTAGTGCTAACTGCTTCGGTGGATTACTAATGGTATCCTTTACTGGCCCATAACACCACTTACACTTTCAGAGTCACTGCTGCTGTGGGGAAATTGATCATTAAAGGTGAAGTTACGGTTACACACACGGGTACTGCGTCCAGTGTCGCTCATCACAATGTAGCACAGGAAAAACACGAACAGTGCAGGCCCAGAAGGTGTCTGCTTTTCTGGCCTGATGACCATTCGCTACCTGAATAGTACCTGCTACCCTACTAAACAAAAAAACCAACAGGATTATCAAAATAAGGTCCTACAAAGTGGCCTGACCACCATTAGAATTAGGAAGATACTCAACACAATAGGATAGGACTATCTGATTAAAGCAGTAAGCGATTAGAGTGACAGATCGAGGAAGCTCTAAAAGAGAAAACAGGACAAACCCTTGAAGGATTCAATGATGGGTACTGTTTATGGCTCAGCATTCTCTACATTGCACCGGACTGTCTGTAGCAGTGAAACCCCAAAGTTCCCTGGATGGGGTTATCCAAGAAACAGCTTTCAGTCATTCCATTAGAAGGGACATGGGTGTTTTTACAAGTTTGAGTACAAGGAAGAAAAAAGGGATACCTTTCAATATCTGATACTGTCTAAACTTTTAGGCAAAAAAAAAGAAAGGAAGGAAGGGAAGAGGGAAGAAAGAAGGGAAACAAAGCTTTATGAAGACAATAAAAAATTCATTTGTGTATTATCAGAGTTCTTAAAGGGTCTGATTTTAAAAATTTGGTAACAGTGGCACAGGTTCAAGTTGCTTGCATTCACCCGCTTAATTTGGTTTAACATTCTTTCTCATACTGGGGACAATACTAACAATTACTCTTCGTGGTTTGCCATGAACAATGAAACCCTATATACGTATGACGTAGACATGAACGTGTATGTGTGCGTGTATGTGTGTTGCAAGCTTATTGTTTTGCATATAGCTGACAGTCAATAAATGTTACATGTCCTCCTCCTTCCCCCAACCTGGTCACCAAACTGAATAATGTCACACACCTAAGCTGGCTGGCACACATTTCCTACTCCCGAGGTCACCAGAACATTTTGCGTCTGACAACTGTGGAGTGCTCTGTTCAGAAAAACAAAACTTGATTTTACTTCAGCAGCGTGGATTTGGGAGGACTGTGTTTCTGAGGAGGGGCCTCGGATTCACGACGAGGGCGGCAGCGGTCAGAGGGATATGCTTACAGAGGCGGACGGACAACCGAATGAATCATGAGGGAGTGGCGAGGCCATTTAAAGGTTGGCTTTTCTAGTTGGTGATAAGCAGAAAAGTATACTGAAGTAGCAAACTTACCAGTAAAGAGGTTATTTGGTATGATCTACATTAATAACTTTAGGTGGCTTGTATCAATAAAAAAAATAAGCAAATGCTATTTTTATTATCTTGTTTCCTATGGACAAACTCTTACAATTAAAGTGTCTTTAGTTTTTTGACAACACCATCTTCCACTTGAATTGCTCGATTTCATGCTTGGTTGTTCTTTCAGAACCTGATATGGACACTTTTCATGTATCTATTTACACACACCGTTGCCAGATTTCCACAATTAATCCTGAAATTATTCCATTTTTACTTCCAGAAGGTCTGAAATATTTTCCATCGACATTTCATAGAAATATAGCTGTCTCGGTTTGCAATGATGACTAAAAAAAGAACTAGCACATTAGGTGGACAATAATAAAAAACCGAGACAAGAAAATAAGCTACAGTCTTTAAAACCCACTGGCATCATCAGATCATTCGGTACAAGCACTCCCGAGGCAAGGGGGGGGAGACACTGGCACTGCACACCTGCAAGCGTGAAACGCTACTTTCTATAACCATCTTTATATATCCCACATCTCACTTAAAGACTTTAGAGTGAAAAGGATCAGAAACATTCCTTTTGAATCTTTTTTCCTCTCCTGACATGCTTTCATTATTGCAAAATTCTTTTTTTTTCCAAAAAAAAAGGAAATAGGCTGAATTTTTACCCCTTTGAAATGTCTCATTGAACCCCTTAAAAATCACTTCCCCACTGAATTTTCACTCATTTTAAAAAATTTTTAGTCTGCGAGGAACACCATATTCTTTAAATTATTTTAGTTAGAATATTACATTTTAGCTTTGCCTACAGTTAGAATTTCAGATGGCTTAAAGGCGTCTTCAACTTTTGAAAAATAGTGACCTGTGAGGTATGCTTCACCTTTTGAAAGAGAGATGCTTTTCAGAGTAATGCCCTGATACTTTCACATTTCTACAGACTTGAACAATTTCACAGAAACTTTCTAATAACATTTAAATGAACAACAGTTCCAGACACTTTCGTTTCCATAGCCTCACCCACACAGTCTGCCATTTCAAATCTCCACGGGAACTCGGTCTTTACACAAAGTTATGAATCCCGACAACCCTGTTTACCTGCGTGAAGGTAACTTTTGTAAGAGGGATTCACTAAGCAGGACACAATGAAAGGGCTATTTAAGATTGTTCAAAGATTTAGACCAAATACTGTTTGGTCAGTTCTGCCTGCACTTACGTGGTAACTCTAAGACAGGGTATCTCATCCTCAGCATTCTGGGAGAGGCCACTCTTTCTAGGGGGTGCTCATGTGTACAGACTAAGATATTTAGCAGCACCCCTGGCCTCTACCCACCAGCTGTGAGCAGCACCCCTGCTTCACCTTCCCCACTCCTTCTATTAAAAAATGTCTCCAAACGAGCCCAATGCCCTGGGTGGAGTGGGGTGGGGGGAGAAAGGGGAACAGGTTTGGAGGGAGGCAAAACGGCCCAGTGGAGAACTGCCGCTCTAAGGCATAATCTATTCTGGCCATCATCAAAACCAGATTCTACAAAAAGCCTCAGGTTTTATTCTTACAAAGGAGGCATATAATGTAAAATAAAAACAAGTAGAACCAAAACGTTCTGGCAAGGGAAAAAATGTTTTAAAATGGAATCAGGTTGAGATTATAATTATTAACTACTCAGTTTCTGCGCAGCAAGGTCTGACTTCAGCTGAACCTCTGCTAATTTCACAGTCATTTCTCTATAAAGGGCACCACTCACTTTTAGATCCGTTTCCAACGCTTGCTTTTCTCTCTGAAGTTCTTCTCTGTAGGGATGGATGCTGTCTTTTCTGTCTGATAAAGCAGCAAGAACATCACTACTCTTTTCTTTACTTGTTTCACACCTCTGCACCGAGTCGTTGTCCACCTCAACTAAGGCAGAAGAAAGAGAACCAAGGATAACCAATTCCTTCTCCAAAGTTAACGCCAAACGATCACTTAGCAAACCCTCACTTCCTGACTTTAGATTTTTGAGGGAACAGTTTATAGGGAGAATTCTGGTGAGATTATGAAGGCACTGTAACAAAGCTGTTCGATTCCTGGAATAAAAAACAAACAAACAAACAATATTACAAAATTCAGGACAGCACAAAGCGGTTGTGCACAACATGTTATAGTAATCTATTGTTTATGTATAAATACTCAAGCAATAAATACAGTCAATAACGCATGTGATCATTGACAGAATTCAGACTGTACCAGTCAAACACGCATATCCTACACCAAGTCAGTTAATACTCATGAGGTTCCATCCTGATTAATTTTTTTCACTGAGTAATAAAATCAATATTATATTTTACAATTTTCATTGTGGGGGAGAGGTAAGAGAACATCTTAAAATAATTATTAGGCCCTAATCAACCAAAAATAAAAACAGCCCAAAACGAACATCCAATTAAAACGGCTGCAGTTTTTAAATGAGGCCACCTGTCCACTCACACTACGGCCAGGCAGTGATGCGGACCCATCCCACAACGGCACAGAACTCTACCACAGGGATCGCCACTGAACCGCTCACTCACCACACACTAACTTTGGTGGACCAATTCCAATCTGACGTGCATTACCTGGAGTAGACGATTAAAATCCCTTCAAATGGCGTCCTTTGTTTCCAGTGGAAGAGTGTTCCATACAAACCCTCTGGCCCTTTACAAAAGCAAATTTCTGGAAATTCTTTGATTACTTCACAGTTCATGCGTTCTAAGAGCCATGCCTTCATTGAAGTCAGGGCATAGCTGGCTGATGCAATTTGGAAACAAGTTCTGTGCAATGTTGCAAGGAGTGCAAACAGATCTTCCATGTGTTCTGCAAGAAAAACATGTCACAAGCTCTGTCATTAAACTCGATTACCACATAAAGACAGTTCTTACAATTTTCTCATTCAATTAGGTATGTGATTAAAAAGTACCAACAAAAATTACCTATAGGTTTCTTTGGAAACATCACTAGGTACTTCCCACTTGAAAGATCTTCTAGACTTAAAAAAAGTCGGCCACACGGAATGTAACGATGTTCAGAACAGTTACCGTTTTCGCTCTTCCTGATCTGTAGCAGCAGAGTGCAATGAAACTGACTGGACGCTAAAAGCGGCGAAAGGGGTGTGACAGCCGTGATGGTCTGTACACACTCTTTCTCAGATGGCTGTGCCTGAGCAAAGCTCTCCTCCTCCTCTTCCTCACTGTCAACAGTCAGCTTGATCCTTTTGGCCTCTGATCCTATTTCACAGGGCACTGCGCACGGTGCTGGAAAAGAGTCCCTACACAACTTGATCAGCCGATTTTGACACTTAATAAGCCGAAAGCTGGAGCAATGGGGTTCATCCACTAACAACGATAAAGTCACCTGGTTCAGGGACCTGTAAAACATCCAGAGTTTGGTTTCGCCTAGAAGTTCATTCTTTAGAATCAAACAGGTTATTAAATGGCATACAAACAACAACAACAAAATTTATTCTCTCCTTTCCTAGGAGATATTTCAAATGTAAAATGTATCAGTAAGTTAAGCATAAAAGCCAACTGCATTTTTAAAAATCCTGTATTACCACTGCCTCTTAAAGTAGGAAAGCAAAAACATTGTAAATATGCTGGACTTTAGAAAAGTAATTCTTTTAATGGGAGGAAATGGTAAATTTAGGCCTGGATTTTATTTTTGAAGATTTTCCCTCCTTTTTTTTAAAACAACAAAAAAACTACTCACTTTTAAAAAGACTTTATTTTGGTAATAATTTAGAATGTAAATACTTATACTTCTAAAGTAAAAATTGCCTTTTATACTGCCCCAAATGACTTGAATAAAATATGCTTCCTAATACAGAATATTGTCTATCCCTCAGCAATAATGATTCTTGGGACATAATATTATTAAAATTAACTTCACCTGTTTCTAGTCACATATTTAGTGAGGCTACTGGCATATTGCAAATTACATATATGGCTTATACTATATTTCTGCTGAACTGTGCTGTTCAGGAGAATCAAGATAAGGGTATCGTGTTAGAATTTACTTACAGCGTCAAAGAAGATACGGTTTCCACTCCAACGACCAAGCTATCATCTATTACGCGATACCATATCTTCTCTACTACCTGTTCTGAATCTTGAGAATTGTCTGGTAACTCTTCATCAGCAGTATGGACAGGATTTTCTTCATTACCACAAAGAGTAACGAGACAGTCCTTATAGAAAAACATGTTTAAATAACTGATTACCAAAAAAAAATTGTCATATGTAGCAAAACTATAAAAAAAATGTTCATCAGCCTCTGGCCAGGCCTTAAAGCTTTCAATATATTTTCAAATACAGTACCTATGACATATTATATTATAGGCTATCCATAATTCATTAAAGTAAAACTTGAAAAACATATGTAATGAACTATTTACTCAGATCAAGAAGCATGGCCTGATTGGAAACACAGCAGGGATGTAAACCTCGAGTCCCTTTTGAAAATAATCTGACAATATGTAGCCCAGCATGCTGAAAACAACCCCACCTTTATCTCCTCAGTGACTTAGCCAAAACCTTTAACTGTAAACTTTCATACAAATTAAAGTGATTAAACTATCTTTACACTGCTGATTGATTATTGCTAAAATTTTATTCTTAAAGTCCAAGCCATACGCATTCATTTCCACACACATATAGATTTATAATAACAATAGCAATAGTACGGGGAGGAGAAAGAGGTGGAGTAATAATGATAGTAATAATATACAAACTTACTGAACACTTACTATAGATCAGACACTGTTCTAAATGCCATTGTGTATTTGCTTAACCTTCACAATAACCCTAATACCCTGGGTCTGTAGTACTATTATCTACATTTTCCAGATTAAAAAAAAATTAGATTCAGGGAGGTCATGCCATAGGTCATACAGTCAGCAAGGGGTGCAGCTGATATTTGAACCAAAGCAAAGTGGTTCCAGAGTCCATGCTCTATTTTAAGTATTAATCTACTACAGGGGCTGGCACAAATAACTCCCCTTTTTTATTACAAACTCTTTTATTACAAAATCATAGGCATGCAATTCTGTAATATAACACTATCACACCCAAGCACACCATATGACATTTTAGCTGAAATGTTCAAATTAAAACTATGAATTATGACACCCATATTATGACCCTACCAACCACACTCAAGCAGGCGTTACTTCTGCTGGACCCTGTATATTTTTATCCCTCTATGTGGTAATTACTGAAAAACAATACGAGCGTTTCCACTAGAGTGAACTAAACGTGTTCCTAGGAATCTGCCGCTTGTGCTAGTAGCTGTGAGATGAGACACAGACCATTCATCGAAAACCTGCAGAAATGTCTACTACCTGCTAGGATTGCTTTACAAACTAATAATGTAAAGAGCAAAAACGGTGTCTTGCACACAGTGGTTTCAATGCATTAATTTCTAAACATTTCTAATACTGGCAAAATTGTTGGCATGAGATAAAGAAGGGGAATGGGGAGGCTATTTTTTTAATGCTCACCCTAGGGGATATATATATATATATTTTTATTTTTTTATTTTTTAAAGATTTTATTTATTTATTTTTAGAGAGAGGGGAAGGCAAGGAGAAAGAGAGGGAGAGAAACATTAATGTGTGGCTGCCTCTGGAACGCCCCCTACTGGGGACCTGGCCCACAGCCCAGGAACATGCCCTGACTGGGAATCAAACCGTGACCTTTTGGTTTGCAGCCCGTGCTCAATCCACTGAGCTATACCAGCCAGGGCGATATATATATACATTTTTAAATTATTATTTATTGATTTTAGAAAAGAAGGGGGAGGGAGCGAAGAGGGAGGGAGGGGGATGGAAGGAGGGAGGCAGAAAAAGAAACACCAATTGGTTGCCTCCCCATGGGGGATGGAAGCCATAACCTAGGTATGTGCCCTGGGGAATCGAACCTACCACTTTCTGGTGTTCAGGATGACACTCCAACCAACTGAGTCACCGGGCCAGGGCAGAGACTTTTAAAAATGACTTTCACGAGGTTTCTCAGGAAATTACAAGAGTAATAGAGAAATGTACCATGACATGCTTTTGTTACGTTTCTTATACCAACACAACCATATTTTGGACCCCAATCCTCGTATTACTAGCAGGGAAATACAGACCCAAGGCACAGAGCATTATGAAGAATGGTCAACCTTGAAGAAGGTCAGAGCAAAGCACTAAAGTGACCGGAGGGGATAAAATGTGCCATCAAGTTCCTCTCTGTCCAGCTATTCATGATTTATTTGTAACTTCTCTTAATGGAGCTAACATGCATAGAAACTATTTTTATGAACTCAAAGCAGTTTTTGCTAACTTTCTACATTACTCTACAGGCATAAATAACTGCAAGGTACCTGAAGAAGGTGCCCGTGATGGTCAACCACAAGGAAAACGAGAGTAAAATTATAAAAAGCAGACATAAGGGCTAAAAATCAGAGCAATTTAGGGACATTAACTAGAGAAACATATATCCTTGAAAATGAACCATGCAAGAGACTAAAAGAACAACTATTATACTAATGAAATTGTGTTATCATCAATACAAGATTAAATAATGTCCAGTAATTGTTTAAGAAGTCGGAAAATATCTAATTCCCTTAGAAGTAATTTTTATTCAGGCTATAAAAATAAAAAAGTTTAGTTAAATCTTTTTAAACAAAAGGACTTATTCTCCAAGGTTCCTGATAACTGAAATTTTAATATCCTACTGAATAAGAATAATTTGTAAATTGGTAAAATACTGGCTTCTTAATCACATATTTCTCAATGTCATAAAAGCCCACCATTAATAATCCCTGCCACTTTGCTTCATGATCCATTGAGCATTTCTAATATATTCCAATTTCCAATTTAAATAACTCTTCAATAGGTTTCAATTATAAATTGATAAAATGGTCACATGGTTAATTTTACCTCCTCTGCAATTGATGTATTATCTTCTTTTCCTTGCAGCAGGTTCATTAAAGCTTTGTAAGATTTTAAAACAATTTTTTCCTTAAGCAAAAGATGCTGCTGTATTTCCTGAATAGAAACCAAGCCAACCTGTAAAGTAGGAAAAAATCATTGCTGGAGATATAATTTCAAATCAAATCTGACATGCTGTTAATTCAGAAAGTGTTCTCTTCAAATCTGCCTATTAATTCATTTTTCTATAGGAAAGCAAAGAATACTTCTCAGAGCAAAACTATTCTATTTGTAAATTTTAAGTCTGTAATTACAAAGGGCAACACAGCAAGTAACGACAATCGATTTTACATATCAAACTGAAGGAATGTCAATGTATTAGCATTCTTTTCACTACTAAATAATCAACCAATATGATTAAGTCCAATCAATACAAATAAAAAGCAAAGCCTACCAATACTTCTACCCCCACAAGGAAACTGTTTTTGTTGAATTTCTGCTTCAAAAAGCAAAAGGCAACATTATGAATAAAAATAGTCAATTTCATTTGACACTGTTTGAAATCCTCTGTTCACATAACCTTTATAAAAAACTTTAAAAATAATACACAATAAACTGTCACACATTTATTTTTGTGCTAATAAACTCAGTGCTAAGATTGACTCTTAATTACTGTGGGGAAAAAAAACTGGCTCTGAACTGGACATAGAGAAACCCATTCCTTTTATGGCACCAGATAAATAGATGTCAGCACAAAGGATGAAACAGTCATGAAATACATTTTGCTACTGAAAATTTAAAAAGCGTCACATCACTGAACTGATACAAGCTGTTTCATTTCACATGGATATCTGAGACTGTTTAAGCATTAATCTGGTTTTTAATATAAATGTTTTTCCAAATTGAAAAAACAATGCATCCTGTTTTCTAATTCCTTTCTTTTGAATTACGTTTCAAGGCAGGTAAATTCTTTGTCTTTTTATCAATGAACAGAAGCTGGAGAGTGAAAGAAGACTGAATCGCATTTTGCCTCATTGAACAAATGGAAAGTATCTAGCTAATATTTTGAAATATCATCTGTTGACCTGGTTCTGTGGTCTCCACATCCTTCACACTCCATCATTCACTTGCTAATCAGTAATTTAGGGAAAGGGAGATGGACCCATCAGAGGTGGAGCAAATCTGAGCCTGTTGGAGGGGGAGGGAATGAAGAGAGGAATATTTGGGCAGACTGAAAATGAGGACCCCTCAGAAATGATCCTGTTCTCTCTTCCCTGCCCCCCTCAACATGCCGCCTATTCAAAGACTGAATGGTGAATCACTACACCCCTCAGATACTCTCTTATGAAGTCTTGTTAGAAAACTATGAAAACAAGCACACGGTAAGGAATTTAAATAACAGAAAAGGACATTTCACCTTCCCTTCCTAGACCCCCTATCCCACTTGTGCAGCCAACAACAGATTGCTTACCTTTCCAGAATTTTTGCAAGTATCTATAAAGGAACGCTTTCTTTCTCCTAACAAAGAAATAAGACCCACCCAAAACCAAATACAGGAGACATTCTACACTGCACAATAGTGAACCCTGCCTTTTGTTCTTTTTACTGTGATCTCTCAAGCATGCAGAAGACTGCATGATACAAAGAAACATTTACAGACAAATAATGAAGTCAACACCCATGGAACAACCATACTCCAGCCAGCAAGTAGCGCCCCAGGGGCTGCCCACTGCCATCCCCGGCCACGAACCTCTTTCTCCCCTGGAAGCAACACCGCCCTGACCTTTAAGATAACTTTCTTGTTTGACTTCATCATTTTACCCCCTTTTGTATGAATTTCTAAAGAATACTTTTAGTTTTCTGTGTGTTTTGCTTCTGAACTTTTTTTTAAAGATTTTATTTTACTTATTTTTAGAGAGGGAAGGGAGGGAGGAACAGAGAGAAAGAGAGAGAGAGAGAGAGAGAGGGAGGGAGAGGGAGAAAGAGGGAGAGGGAGAGAGAGAAACATCCATGTGCGGTTGCTGGGGGCCGTGGCCTGCAACCCAGGCATGTACCCTGACTGGGAATCGAACCTGCGACACTTTGGTTCGAAGCCTGCGCTCAATCCACTGAGCTACACCAGCAAGGGCTTGCTTCTGAACTTTGAACAAATGGAATAATTCTTTTCAGGGTCATCCATCTGTCCCCGGTCGCTGCAGTTGCTGCCTTCCATTGCTCTCTAGTATCCCATCATGTGACTAGACCAGCTTACTTCTCTAGTCTGCTGTTGACGTACATCTGGGTTACAGTTACAGACCACGCTGCTGTGAACATTCCTGTACAAGTACACGAGTTTATCCAAGGTCCTGGTCTCCCCAGGTCCCCACCAACAACTGCTTGGAAAACAGATTTCAGATTCCACAAGGGAAAGAACATAGAAATGCATTGTAGTTCACGTTCCGCAAGTTTCTTCACCTTTCTGCCTCTCCACTTGTTATCTCTTATGGAAAATGGGGAGAGGGAAGACTTGTTAACCCCTGGAAGGCCTTCCAACACTTGGAATGCTTTCAACCACATTTAGAGCTAGTGATAACATGTGGATCCCCAAGGTAAAATGGGACCCCAGCTATCCTGGGTTCACCACCTGCGCACGTCCCTGACTCCCCTTTAGGTTTCATTCATATTTTCCTCCCTTTCCTCTGAGCCGTCTTCTAAATAACTTTGCTAACATAGTCTGACTTGCTAATTTGCTCTGCCTATGTTTGAGTCCACTGTTAAACTCACCTGTTGAGTTTTTTTGTTTCATTTCAATGTATCTTTAGTTTCTAGAAATGCTATTTGGTTATTTTGTGTGAATAAATAATGCTTTGTCGTTATGTGCTTGGTTAATCTGTGGTGGCTCATTGTCTTTGAAAAATTCCTTGTGAAATTGATAAGAGGCCTAGAATAAATTTGTGTTTGAAGAAAGGCTTTTATGTTGGTTTCTGCCCGGTGCCTGGGGCAATACTGCTTTATGTTAAATGCACACGCCCCTGGGGCAAAAGCAGTTCAGTGTTCTGTTTCTCTCTCTGGGTTCCACCCTGTAGAGTTTGGCTGGATAATTTATTCTTATATTTTCAGCTTTCTGAAGCTTTTAAAACACATTTCAGTTTATCATTTTAAGTTGCATTATCAGGAGAGTTGGTCCAAATGAGTTAGGTGACATATTACCAGAAGTGGAATTTCTGAAATCATGCTTTCGTAAATTAAATTATTTTGGCATCAATTCTAAATTGGTGTAAAGACCTACCACATTCTTTTTGACAGCTGCATAGTAGTAGTCCATCGGGTATATATTCATTTATTTGCTGTACTCCTAATGATGGATATTTTGATTCTGACTGATTTTGTTATTTATATTACGTAAATGTCCATGTAAAATCATCATTGCTTACATGTGCAAGTATATCCGCAGAACAGATTTCTAGAAATGAAACTACAAGAGTAAAGAGATATGCACAACTCACATTTTAGTAGCTAGCACAAGTTTCCCTCTTAGGGGACTAGACCGCTTTACATGCTCAACAATTTCAGAATGCACATTTATATTAGAAAATGAATCCTCTGTCACATGTTGTAATGTTTTACACAATTTGTCCTTTTATTTATTTTACTTAGTTCAGAATGTAAAAGTTGTAAATGTAATCAATCTTTCCCTTGATGGTTCTATGTTCACTATGATATTTCATTTATCTGTTGCTCATATTCATATTTAGTATGTGTTCAGTAAGCATTTGGTGGATTCACTTTAACAATGAAAATAGTTCCAAGTAATTTTAAAAGGGTCTGCAAAGTACATATATTTATGATCCAACTTTTTACAGAACAGTTTGCCAGGAGTAGAGGAAAAAGTTAAATGATCCAAGCAAATAGACAAATCCAAAAGGAAGAACAACTAGCCTGGCCTTCTCATTAGTGTCATTTAAAAAATAAGGGAGGGGACATTATCCTAAATAAAAAGACCAATGAGAAATATAGTAATTAAATGCAAGTGTAAACTTTGACCGCACTCTGAAGAAAGTAACTATGAAGAAACTTTTTTTGTGGCAATTAAAGACATCTGAATATGGACTGAATAGTAAATAAGATTAAGGGATCGTTATTAATTTTCTAAGTGTAATAATGGTATTTTGGATACATAGGAGAATGTCCTTAATTTTCAGAGATTCCTGCTAAGATACATAAGAGTAAAGTATTATGATATTCACAACTTCCCAATGATTCTACAAAAACATACACACACACACACACACACACACACACACACACACAAGCACAAAACAGATGAGGCAAATATGATTTTTCCAAAGGTAACACCAGTTGAATCCATGTGGGGACTAGAGATAATTCCTATACTATTCTTTCAATTTCTCTGTACATTTGAAAATTTTTACAAATGGAAAAAGGCAGGTTAAAAATGAACATCTCATAATCACATTTCCATGGGAATTTTCACATTTATTTGAAAAAATCTGCAATATACATGCCAACGTATAAAAACTGATTATATCTCAGTAGTAGAATCAAAGGTAATTGTTTTTCATATTTCTTTGCGTAGTCTGAATATTTTACAGGAAATGTGGACTACCTTCTGACAATAGGAAAACCTTTTTGTATAGAGTTTCATATGGAAAACTGGAGGGTGAACTGTTCACGTTTGGAACACGTTATGATTCATCATATTTGCTGCTCCTTAAAGAGATACCATGGTATTCTGATCTTACAGACCAGAAAGAATGTTTTTAAAAGTGAGTTTCTAATATTTTATCTTAAATTTTACATAATCTTACTACAAAAAGGTGTCATTTTTAGATGTTACAATTATAAAAGATGTCATAACAGTTTTTACAAAGGTACGGAAAAAGTAAAGATCGTTTAAAAACCATTTATTCACATTTGCTAAGTTGCTTATATTTTAAGGGCCAAACTTTCAAAGTTCTTTCTTTCATTTAAAATAGCACTAATCCAAAACAGCAAAAGTCAAAAAGCAAACATAGATACTAACTTTCACTCTTCTTTCCAGAGCTGGAATCACCAAATAACGGTTATCTGGTTTGTCTTCAAATAAGTCATCTTCATTGTAATCCAATGCTTCACTCTAATAAATTAAAAAAATATATATACTAAAACTGAAATTTTGAAACTGCAAATTGATAATATTAACAATATAAAATTAAAGTTTATCCAAAGGGCAGTTTTCTATGTTAAACACTATTATATAAAAGGCAAAATATATATATTTCCCCCATCTTCTTATAACTAGGAAAAATTACAATTATTACCACTATTACTACCCATGTAACATCTATATACTACTTCAAAAAGTATCAGCTTACAAAATTTTTATAAACTCCTAAAACCCCATAAGTAGAGAAAATAAGAATTGCCCTCATTTTACTAATGAAAAAAATGAGACTCAGAGGCTTTTTTATATCAATCTGAGATTTCAGGGGTATTATTTCCCTTTGCCCCACATCTTAAGATATGAACTGTTAGTTGTTTTTTTCTCAAAGATTTATTTCTAGAGAGAGGGGAAGGGAGGGAGAAAGAGAGGAAGAGAAACATCCATGTGTAGTTGCCTCCCACGTGCCCCCTACAGGGGACCTGGCCCGCGACCCAGGCGTGTGCCCTGACTGGGAATCCAACCTGCGACCCTTTGGTTCACAGGCCCACGCTCAATCCACTGAGCCACACCAGACAGGTCTTGTGCATTTTTAAAGTTCAAAAAGTTTCTTTAAGTATGAAATCCCAAACATTTAAATAGTGGGTGAAAAGCTTTAAAACACTCAAATTTTCTAAAATGGTTCTTAATGTCTAAAAAGTAAACAGAACTTACCGAATAGTTTATGTTTTCAAGATTTGTTATTTTAAATGAACTCAGGCAATCTGAATTTAAGGAGTCCTTAAAAAGGAGCAGTACTTGTTCCCTTCCAATTCCGATAAAGTCATCTATGAGTACCAAGCTAATTTTTTCCCACTGAGCAGCAACCTGAAAGAGTATAAAGAAGGAATAGAAAAGGAAAGATAATTAGATGTGACATCACCTAAATCCTTTTGCTGCATGCAGTTGCACTTATTATCATCAATCCTATAAACAAGTAATGAAAATGGTAGTATAAACACTAAAAACTAAAATATATTGAGGGATCAAAACCCATAAGGAGTTTTAACTTTATAAACATCAAGGAACTTAAATTTAATATTTTTATTCATGTTTGTGCAAGTACGGTAACATTGCTGATTTCTGTACAAAAATTTTATTATAATTTATAAAATCCAATACTTCGCAAGGCTAAGTATTTTAGAAATTCTAACACTTCTCATGAGAAAGTCTAGCAAAGGTTCTTTCCCTAACATGGGTAATTCAAGGACAACCCTCACTCCCATAAGCCTTGATGGATGTATACGGGGTGGGGGAAATGTAGGTTTACAGAATAAACTGTGTTTCACATACTCATAACTGTAAGCCTACTTCTGCCTCACCCAAGAATTCAGTTGTACTAGGTAACCAGAAGGTACCAATGCACACTTTAAGAGCAGAATAACCTTTAAGAGTCAGGATGACAGAAGATGTGACTTTGGGTGGTAAACACACAATGCAACATACAGATGATGTGTCACAGAATTGTATACCTGAAACCTATATCATTGCATTAGCCAATGCATTACCACAATAAATTTAATTTAAAATTTAAAAAAAGTAAAGATGGACTTAGTACCCTAAACTCTGGTTGGGAAGAACAAAACCATTATCAGAGCCACAAAAGCGGAGGGATTCTAATAGCAGGGCACCTAGAAAGTATCCTAGCCTAATGGAATGGTTCAACCAGTTTATACCAGAACATGAGACCCCAAATTTAAAATAGAAGGCAACCTCTTAAAGGCCCAGAAAGCTAAAAGCCTCCAGATTGGTCCCCTGGAAAACTAACACCATGTGGATCAGATATTCCTTCTCCCTCAGGCAGAAAAACTAAAACTTCCACTCTGAATCCCAGGAGCACAGTTACACCATCTGGAATAGATAATACAGGAGGGCAGCTTGCATTACAGCAAGAATATAAGTAAGACTCTTCAATCTATATAACCAAATATCAACCTTTCCCCTTTAAGGCACTTCTATAGCAGTCATTTTTCACTTATGCAAGGAAAGACCTTCTTTATAGACCTATGTCCTCTCCTTCCCACCTGTCCAGGAATATCACAGAGTATAAAACCGATATAAAGGGCTATATGAATAACACCTATATTAGTAATAAGAATGTGCTCGGCATGCAGATACCATAGAGCTGTGCACTCAGACACACACACACACCTGCAATCCATAGGTCTATACTAGTGTCATCCAAAACGCAAGGCACATACCTAACAAAATTGTCCAATAGCCAGTAAAATTCTCTAGTAGCAGTGAAAAGGAAAAGGTAAAAGTAACTTTGTTATGTTATTTAATCCAATATATCCAAAATACTATCATTTCAATTCAATATAATCAATAAAAACTGAGATATTTTACCTTGATTTTTCTTCACTAAATCTTTGGCATCTAGTGTACAGTTGACATTTCTAGAACATTCTAATCCAGACTAGCCACATTTGAAAGGCTAAATAACCACATGTGGCTAGTGGCTACAGCATCAGACACACCCTTCTACAACCTGTTTCCATCTACAACATGACGATACCTATTTCAGGTGTATTTAAAAGTGATCTCAATTTTGAAATACCTGCTATATAAAGTTCTTGCCAAAACTCGCAGAGATTAATCTCTACCCGAGAGAAAGCCTAAGAAGAGAAAAGCTACTTGTGTGGTTCTCTAGACTCAGCTCTGTTTCAAGCCCTGTCATTGGATAAAACATTACCCCTAGGAGGGCTGGTCTGAGAACACACTAACCTTGATTTATTACTTTCTCTAATTTATGCTTGTTTGTATTTTAGCCTATCTTTGTAAGCTGCCTTAATTCCTCTGTGGAATGGAGTACTCGAAGGATGAATGGGTAAGATAAGACCAGAGCCAACCCAAAGGAAGACTGTACTGCTATTTCCTCCCATTTGGGGAAAAACCTGCCATCACAGACACCATCGTATTTTCAAGAATGTCTTCATTTTATTATTCAAACCCCCTTACACTGTACCACAACAGTAAATTCCTCTCGGAACTCAGTGTTAGGAAACAGTCTTCCCTTGGTACTGCGCATTTCATTCAATTGTAAAACCTGATGTATTTGTCTTAACTGCTAAACTAAAGTGTAATTGCTCACATGCAATTACTTCCCTTAACTCTCCTCCTCCTTTATTTGTATTCTTAGCATTTATTCCTGCTTTTAAAGTAATCAAATATTTTACCCTAAGCTATATCCAATTTTCAAAAGTAGGTTGGTATAAATATAACACCAAGATAGAGGCAGAAGCGGCACAACTCCAAGGTTACCTAGGCAATTTAGAAGCACTTACATTGCCAGATATGGGGGAGTAACTCCACAGCTTTCAATATAGGGCATTTGCAAGCAATTTAGAACTATCAGACGCCCTGGGGAGGGAACCTAAGGCAGATGGCGGCAGGGGCTCAGCTAAGTGCCAGTAGCTTGTGGAAAGGATGGTGGTCCATTGTAAAGAGCCCAGAACACAATTTCAAGGCAGGGAGGCCAACAGTTACAGGCAGGCTTACACGGCCTGACCGTCTCCAGCTTTGGGTAATGTGAGTGCAGAGCTATCTACAGTGTCCAAGCAGGGGAGTCCACTTCCAGGGAGTTAGGACAATAGCCCACAGAATGAACGAGGCACCAGGGAATTGTTTTTTCCTTATCCAGGTGCATAAGAGACCTTAGATAGGACAAGTCATTGATGACAGCCCTGGCCCGGGCCTTACATTAATAACAACCACTTACTGAGATGCTCCTCTGTGCCAAGTACTGTGCTAGACACGTTCCAACATCATTTCACTGAACTATCCCCTCTCAGAAGCAGGATGATTTCAAATTGCATAAAGATGAAAAACAGGTTCACAAAAACGACATACTTTCCTTAAGGTAGCACTACTACGTGGCTCAGTTGGGATTCAGTCACGTTAACTGTCTTCTTGCCATGACCCTGACCCCAATTAAGGATTATGGGCTATACCAGATGCTTCCCCCCACCATTTCTTGACAGAAAATATTATCCAAATAACCTTCAAATAAAAAAAAAGTACAACGTGCTTTCAAAAGATTGCTTTCAAAAGAAAACAGGATAGCTTTCCAATGATCTTCCTTTTGAGAATGTCAGTGTAACAAGTTGAAAAGGCCTGGATCTGAAATGCAACTGAGGCCTAGAGGCCAATTCCAGGGAGGAAAGGTTACCCTGGGGGCAAAGTCCTTGTTTTCCCAGTTTTGTCACTGGCTTGGCATGGGGAGGGGGTGCGCACATTCCACCCTGGTGACCTTCTGCACTTTGCTGTAAATTGCTCGGCCATTGTGTTCAGCCCTTTGTCTCAGTTTCCCTATTCTACTCACCCTATTCTACTCACCGAGGAACCTTCCTAGCTTCTCACTGTCCTGTCCGTTACACAATTCCTAGTAACAGAAAGGTAATTTACAAGGGCAAAGCCTGATAAAACACAATTTCAACCTGACATTTCTACATACACAAAGTGATGATTCACAGTAAAGAATGCCTCTCAAATTTTCCAAAATATTTATCAATATTCCATATCATGATAGAAATTTTAATTGAGCTTCCAATTAAATGCCTAGGGCACACAAAGTAAGGCACTCTGCTTTTTCCAAAGTAGCACAAAAACTCTGAAAGTGGAATAACATGCTAAAAAAAATCACTACTGGAAAAGATATTTCTGACAAGTAATGATTATTTATCTTGAACTATAAACACTCAGATCACATACCTGAATGAGCTGATATACATCTAAAGCCAAGAGGATACAGTGTTACCAAAAAAAAATCAGGGTCAGAGAAATAGTACTAGTGCACACGACGCAGTTATAACCCTCTGATTTCCTATTTATTTTCTGCCCCTTTTTACCTATTATTGAACACTTCATACCAGACAGTATTTTCAAGCAATTTCCAAACCTTACATTAAAAGATGCAACTACTGTAAATGTGAATAAAATGTGAATGCTTGCTAAGGACAACTCTGAGTTTCAAAATATAACAAAAAAAAAGTCTAAGTGAGTTTTTTTTAAAAGACTAACACATCATTTATCTCTGGAGAACAATTATTTGCCCCTTCAGGGACAACGTGACACATTTCAAGGAATTCCTCTAGATTAAAATTTAAATTTAAATACATGATTACCAGCTTTTAAAATGTTGAACTCATTTCAGTTTTCTAAAAAGGCTTATGAAGTCAAATCACTTATAATCTTATTCTAAGTATAAATACACATCCAACTATTATCATATGAATAAAAATCAGTCATTTTAAGACAAATGTAATAATTGTAGTTACACATTTATGTATTTCTAAACTCAAAGGTTTTATCACTCAAAATGACAAACTGAAACCTTTTTTAAAGATTTTATTTGTTTTTAATTTTTTTTTAGATTTTATTTATTTATTCATTTATTTATTTTTAGAGAGGGAAGGGAGGCAGATAGAGAGAGAGAGAAAACATCAGTGTGCGGTTGCTGGGGGTTATGGCCTGCAACCCAGGCATGTACCCTGGCTGGGAATCGAACCTGCGACACTTTGGTTCGCAGCCCGCGCTCAATCCACTGAGCTATGCCAGCCAGGGCAGATTTTACTTATGTTTTTAGAAAGAGGGGAAGGGAAGGAGAAAGAGAGGGAGAGAAACATCAGTCTTTTGCCTCTCACATGCCCCCAACCAAGGACTTGGCCTGCAACCCAGGTATGTGCCCTGAATGGAACCAAATTTGGGGCCTTTCAGTTTGCTGGACAATGCCCAACACACTGAGTCACACCAGTCAGGGCGAGCCAAAACCTTTACCAGGTAGTATTCAGATAACTCCACATACAAAAAAAAAGAGTGATGTAACATATATGATTTTCCTCTAAATGCAGCACTGAAAATTGATTTGGTTGCTAAGACTCCAGGATGAACTCTGTGAAGGGTAGGAATGCTTACTAGGTCTAAGACTACACCGGTTGAATGATTACGAGAATAAATACTGTACCTGAAAGTTCTTTTCCCAAACAGCACAAGCACTGGACCTAAAGGATACAATGAAAAGGGGATCTTCGCCTGAATCCATAAGTTGCACTTCACGAGGATCTCCAAATGGAAGCTGGCACACACTTTTAGGAGTCCCATTTTGGAATGAAATCAGCTGATTCTTTCGAGTAAGGGCAATCAGAGACATTCTTAGCTGGTTGTTGACAAACTCAGTTGCGCAGACATGCACATGAGTTATTACAGTGCTGTAAGCAGGAGGGATAATATATGTATCACTTATTACTTCTTTGCTTTCGAGGAAGCATGCACAAAACGTGGTGTTCCAAACTGCATAATCTGATTTTGAAGGCTCTGGGGTGCCTTCTTCCTCAGATAAATAACAGTTCTTTTGTCCTATTAAAACCATACCTAGATTTTCAATCTCTCCTGCCCACTCAATAGATGACAAGTTAACGGACATAGTCATAACTTTGCCAGTTTGGGAAAAGATATAGAAGAAGGTTTTGACATGTTTCCATAAAATTAAAGGGCCATTCAAGACCCTTACGCCATCCTTCAACTCATGGCCTAGTCTAAAACTCAAACGCTTTTCAAATTTATTGGTACTGTGAAGAAATAGGAGAAAATATTTGAAAACATTATTCTTTTCATTGCATTGTATCATAATACAAGGGAGGTTCATTCCAGTTCTGAAATCTGACACACAGTTGCAACACATGATTTTGAAGTGATACGAGTTTTCTTCCTTTATGCTAAAGAATCCCGTGGACTTCTGAACAAATGCACTTGTTTCTCTGTCAAATACCATTCTTCTGACATGTAATATGGGTATTTGTGCAGGCCCTTTATCTGCAAAATTTCCTTTAGACAATCGAAAAACAAGCACTTCCCCATTATAACACAAGAGCCTTTCTTGCTCGTCACATGGCATCGCTTGTTTGCTCATCATTCCACAATATCAAGTCTTTGTGTTGGTCCACTTTTCGAATGCAAATGGATTCCATTCGACGCTTTTAAACCTAAAACTGAAATGAGAAAAATAGCCATCAGGTAGGCAGAGTAGAAAACACATGTTTCGATTAGAAAAATATCACATTTGTTAGGGAACAATAAATTGTATTAAGTTACCATTTTTAAGCTCTTTATGCTGTCTTCATGTCACACTTAACAAAAAACATATCCCAAGTATTATTTCTATACAGCCCATAAAAAAACAGTTTGCACAGAATGCAAATTACCACATCACGAACAATAACAGGATGTGTTAACAGCAACTATTAAAAGCTGTGGAGCTCTGTTAAAGTGACTGCAGACGTTCTTTTTGGCTCGGGGAATTTCTTAAGGGTTCCTCTCCTGTCTCTCTTTCAAACCTGCCAACCTAATCTGGTTTCCCCAGTCAACAATTCAAATTATACTGCTCCTGTAGCCCAGGCCCTTGGGTCCCTGCTTCCCTGAGACAGGAGCTCATATAGACTTTATGACCAAAATGAAAGCCCAGAAAGAAAAACAGATGCTATAACATGGCTTTTAAAAACCTCCACAGGAGTAAACAGAAATCAATCTTAAATCTTACTTTAGAAAAGCAATGCAGTTTGAAGACCTAAGTCACTATTCTTACTCAAAGTCGAAAAAACAGACTATTAGTAATATTATAATGGACACAAGAATTACATAATAGCTATCAGTTATATCATATTTTGCCATGTATGATGCACACTTTTTTGCTTGAATTTTTGACGGAAAAATAAGGATGCACATTATATATGGGTGTAATGATTACATTATCCCGTGTATAATGCACACAAAATCGTGGATGTGTATTATATACAGCAAAATACGGTAATTCATACCCTCTCTTTTCTCTTATTTGTGGATCATTTACATTAGGAAATTCAATTATTTCAGAAATAAAGGAAAATGAAGTCATTTGTAAGTAAATAATATTGTTTTACTCTGTTGAATGAAAAGCAAACTCTAAAGGCTTAGGTTTTGTTCTTTAATTATAAATATCTACCAATAGGCCAATTGGAAGAAAAGTATTATATCATTGAACCTTATCTACAAATTTAATATAGCCTGAATATTAGAGAAATGACCAATTTGGAGGAGATTCTACTTAAAAGCAGGCTAGATTAGTCAGCATCTACTTTCAAACCTTATTGTCGAATTTCTAAACACATCACTTGTGGTTTTAAAATTCTTTGCAACTCCTTTCATCGAAAAGTGGCAGTTAATTCTCTCCTGCAGTCAGGGCTGGTCATTACGATGTGCTTCTAGCCAACAGAATGTGGCAGAAATGAGTGTGTGACTTCTCAGATTGGGTCATGGAGCACTATGGCTTCCTTGTCGACCTCTTCCTTGGATCGTCTGCGCTGGGGAAAGGCTCCTGCCGTATCATTAACACCCTCCAGAAACCCCATGAAGATGGGCACAGGGCAAGGAAGTATAGCTTCCTGCCTAAAGACAGCGAGGGGCACTGAGGACTTTTGCCAGCAGCCAGGTGAGTGAGCCTTCTTGGGGTCAGCTCCTCCAGCTCCAATCACGCCTTTAGTTAACTCAGCCCCTTGGAGAGATCTTGCGCCAGACTACTCAGCTAAGCTGCTCCCAAATTCTTGATTCTCAGAAACTTTGAGATAAATGTTTGTGGCTTTAAGCTGCTAAATTGGGGAGTAATTTGTTATGCAGCAACAGACAAATACATTCCCTTATGGCATTTTTTAAAAAGATTTTTTTTATTTATTTATAGAGAGGGAAGGGAGGGAGAAAGAAAGAGAGAGAGAGAGAGAGAGAGAGAGAGAGAGAGAGAGAGAGAGAGAGAGAGAGAGAGAGAAACATCAATGTGTGGTTGTTGCTGGGGGTCATGGCCTGCAACCCAGGCATGTGCCCTGACTGGGAATCGAACCTGTGACACTTTGGTTCGCAGCCCACGCTCAATCCACTGAGCTACGCCAGCCAGGGCAAATTGATTTGTATTGTTTTTAAGAATTTCATGAAATCTATGACCTGAAGTAACTGGAGATATTGTATCATAATACAAAGTAGCAGATGTCACTGGCCAGTAATTGTCAGGCCATTAATGTCAAAGATATAGGACAAACAGGTAGGTACCTCAAAGGTGTGGCTTCCACTTATAAAACTACCTTTTGCTTTAAAGGAAATAAACATGTTAGTTATATTACATCAAAATGTATGAATAATAATTTCTGTATTTCAAATTTCCCACAGATATATCAGGTATCTTAGAAGATTTCCAAAAAAGGAAAAGCATAAAATGATATATTCCAAGATAAAGATCTAAGAACACATTGCCTTTCACTACCTACTCAAAAACTTCATCAGATTTCTTCAAAATTCTAAAAAAAAACTGTGCAGAAAGGATTTTGTTATCTTAATATTAAATGTCACATGTGCTCTGACTCACTCATATCCAAGTGTGATACGAGTAAGGAGACTCTCATAGCTATAAGGTCAGTAGAATCTCCCCCTTTACTAAACTTCAGTGGCACCCTGATCAAGTCGTGACTTGGGAAAATCAGGCCTCTTACATTTGGTTCCTTTAATGCGATATATCGCCAAGTTCCGTCACTTAGAAAACCCTCTGTCTTCAAACTTTCTGTTCAACTCCCACTACAGTAGTTCAGGGTTTCATCTCTCAGGCTGCAGTAAGAGCTCCTTAACGGGTCTTCCTTATGCTAGTCTCTCCTTGCTCCAACATATCAATTGATTCACGCTACCTCAGTCATTGTTCTAAAACACAAGCTTTACCTGGTCACCGCCTCCTAATTTAAAAACCTTGCAGGCACACCCACGACCTTCTCAAGAGATCCATGGGATCTTTGTACTGCGTCAAATGATACATATTAAACATTGTTTTGAACATATGAATGACGCAGAGATAAAATGTTGCAAACCACTGTTATAAAGTTTAGTATGGTATTCAAATCCCTGCATAATCTTAAACCAACATTCTTCTAGGCTGAGCTCTAAGCAAAAAAGCAAACTTACTGCCGTGGGTTTAGAATTGGGTAGATTTAAAAACATAAATGACTGTTATATAAAAGGTCATTATTTATTTTTAAGTATGATTGCAAAAACATCCATATTTTCAATGTTATTTAAGTGGGCCACTTTCAGAGTTAAAAAATTAGAAGCTACTAATATATTAATGGAGATAAATTATTTCTTCAAACTTTCACATGAGTGTATCTATTTTATGTTACACTAATGAACATCTGTTTTAAGAGTAAAATTTAGCATACATTCATAAAATAAACCTTTAACAACATACGGCATAAGTGGGGATTTTCTTTAGATAGAAATAATCTGAAAACAAGTGAAACAAAGGTTCAATTTAGAGATTCTTAAATCAATGTAAACAAGTCCTGATTAATCAAACCCTGATTATTAGAGCACCAGGCTTACTATTCTAGCCTATTGGTCATTTGACTTTTTGGTTAGTACCCTTAAAACAATGGCTGTAGAAAAAAAAATAGGTTAACTCAAGCCAGTTAAATTTTACCTCCTGCTCCACCAATTGCAGGGCAGAAGATTTGGAAAGAGATTATTTATAAAATAGTATGTAATTAGTATGAGTATTTCTTGTCCTATATTACCTTATACCAAAGTCAACAGGATATATTTTATATATAAAATGTGTGAGTGTACTAGAAAAACAATACATGATAATATAAATGTAATAAGTTGGCAACAAAAATACCATCCTCATCCCCTCTTCTCCAGCAGCTTCCTAAGCAAATATACATTGCTGCCTTTAAATGCTACTAAATTCATCTGGGCTCTGTGAATTTCCATATTCTTTAAATTACTGTCCCACCGGTTCAGGAGGATCCAAAAAGCACCACATGATCTGGGTAGGAAATCTAAAAAGTGTCTATGAAACCATATCAATTGAAAGCAATACAAAGTATCTTTGGAAAAAAGAGTGAGTTAAAACAACTAAAAACCTCACCTAGTAATATTAAACATCATCTTATGAGCATAATAATTTTTCCAACATACAGGACATTGTTACCTAAGCAAATTAACTTGGCTACAGAACAGGTCCACTGTGAAAACGTTTTCCTACCTATATGCTGAGAAGTCATTTGTTCAGGCCTCCCCAGAATCAATCTCCCATTTTCCTTTCCCAACAATACCTAGTGCACCTGAAATGCAGGTGACTGTGTGGAGGAATGGTGATCCACTAACAGAGTTAGGCAAGATTAAGTTAAAGAAGGATTTCTATGGCATATTAAGCACGCCTAAATTTCTCTAAGCAATGATAAACAACGGAAAGATTTAAAATACAGAAATCAGTGTATACTTCTAAATTACAAAGATCCTGGTGAGAACGTTGAAGACAGCCACCAGGTGAGATTGGAGGGAGACCCATGAATTAAAGAGATAATTATGAGTACTTAATTAAAGGGAGAGGTGACTTCGGAAGGCAATATGGCAATAAATGGACATGTGTATAACCAACAATTTCATTTCTAGATAAAAACCAAGAGAAATAATTCTACATAATTCACAAAGACACTGCTCTAGAATGTTTACTGTGCTGTTATGTGTGATATAAAAAAATAGTAAAAACTTCAATGACCAATAGTGGAATGAATAAATACAGATGGAATATCATACCATAATGAAAAGAAATGAATTAAATGTATGTATATCACCATGGCTAGAATTCAAAAGTAAAATGAGAAAAATTACGTTGCAGAAAAATGTATATGGCAGTACATTATTTATCTAAAAACACATAAAACGGCATTATTTATTTTCTGTTTACCTACAAGGGCTACTTTCCGAGTGCTTTCTCTGTACCAACACTATTGGACTTTGGAGTCACTCATTTATTTATTCCTCACATCCTCATGCCACAGGCACTGTTTTCCATTCTACAGATGGAGAAATAGGCACGAAGTTAAAGGATCTTCTCAAAGGCCTACAGATAGACAGTGACAGAGTGAGGATTCAAATCCAGGCAGCCTGGTCCAAAATCAAAATCAAAATCAAAGCAAAGCTGTAAAGATTGATCCCACATTCCTGTCTATTTATTCTGGAAAAAGGGATGGCTTTCAGGGTAGGGGAATGGTGCAAGAGGAAGACGTCAGGCATACGTCAGAGATATTGCGGGTTCAGTTCCACACCGCAGTAAGAAAACAAGTATCGCAACAAAGTGAGTCACAATAGTTTTGCTGGTGGAGGGTCTTGCCTTCAATTTGCAAAAACGCAACACCTGTGAGGCACAATAAAGCGAAGTGCAATAAAATGAGCTGTGCCTGTATCTGAAATGTTATTAAAAATGTAGCCAAATAATTTTTAAACAATGTGTTTTCTTCTCTATAAAAATGTATACAAAAGAAGCCTGGGTGAAAGATGCTTAAGTGTCAATCATGATTGACTATGGATGGTGGAAACGGGTACTGTTCATTTTTCTTGCAACGCCTTTGTATTTTCAGTATCTTTCAATTTTTTAAAAAGCCAATATCATTGAATGGGAAATGATTTCCTTTCCATTTCTTCACCAGCAACCAGAAAACGTGCTCCAGTAACTTATGAGTCTATGTTTCTCAACTTTGGCACTTACTGACATTCTGCGCTGGCTAACTTGTCGAGGGTTTCCTGTGCGTTGCAGGATTTAGCAGTACCCCTGGCTTCTACCCACCAGATGCCAGTAGCAGACACTCGTAAGCGTCTCCTGGAAGGCAAAATTCCACCCACCCGCCCACCCCCACTTTGAGAATAATCAGCTTAATAAACTAAAACGAGTTGCATGTCTTAACTTTATATAACTGTTGGAGTTTAAAGATTTCAGAGATACATTCCTCATTAAGTATCTCACATTCCAAGTGGATAAGATGTTGCAAGGGGTGAAGAAAGTTTCAAGTGAAATATCCCCGAATATACCAAGCACTTAAAATCTAGTTATCGCTTCATAGCATGATGCACATCCATATAGCATAATGGACACTTATAGCCCGGGACGGCCGCTTCCTCCTCGCTCTCCCTCAATTCCAGGACAGGAAAGAAACTCCAGTCCCACCACCCGTCCAGGCAGGTTGGGTAAGGGAAACTCGCCGGCCCTACCTCCGGGCGCTGCGACCCGCATCCTGTAGTTGCCAGGTCCCGGAGGCTGCAAACCTCCCGCCCGCGCGCTGCATCCTGGGAGGGCTGGGCTGGAGGCTGCATCAAACTCTGAAAAGGTGGAGCCGGCCAGGCGGGCGGAGAAGGTTGCAAACGGAGGCTAAGGAGGCGGGTCCTCCGGGAACTTCTTGAAAGCTAATGGCAGGCGGAGCTTGCTAGGGCGGAGTTCCGCGGGGGAAGCGGCTTCTATCAGAGGCTGGCGGGGGTGGACCCGCAGTGCAGGGGACGCAAGGGCGTGGCGAGAACAAGCAGCGAATGGCAAGCCAGATCTAGAGCCTGGTCCCGCCTCCAGACTCCTGCGGCTGTGTTTGATTGGGCAGATTGGCTACACCTCCACCCGCCTTCCGGTGTCACGCGACCGCCTCCGCCTCCCACCCTTCCCTGTCTACAGCCGGGCTGGCCTGGCCGATGAGGATAAATTGGGACGGCGGTCGGGGAAGTGAGCAGTCTGACTGCCATCGGGTCTGCGTCCGCGACCATGGCCGAGGTGAGAAGCTGATCGCCCCGCACGGCTGGCGGCCCTCTCCCGGGACCCGGAATCCTCCTCTAAGGCGGGGGGGGAGGAGGGGGCGTTCCCAGGTGCAGGTGAACTGAGCGGAGGAGAAGCGGGATGGTGCGCTTGCCGTCTAAGCGTCTGTTTTCTCCCTTCCAGTGTCAAGCTCAGAATAAAGCCAAGCTCATCTCTGAGACCCGACGAAGGTTCGAAGCTGAGTATGTGACAGGTGGGTACCGCGTTCTTGGTGTTAAGGCAGGTGTGCATTGACTGTCCCCAACTTTGCTGGAGTGTTTGCGGGCGTCTCCGGGAAGGATTAGGGACCATTTCGGCCCCCACAGGGAAGGTGCCCTGCCTGTTTCCAAGGTGTTCTTCTCTGTTACATAGCATGCACACTGCTCCAATTCGGCAGGTAATGCGTCCATTGCTCGCTAAAGGGTTCGTGTAAGTTGGAAATCAGTGTCTCTAGCTTCTCGAGTTTATGAAAGTTGCAGGACACTTTCCAGGCGCACGGCACTGGTGACACTGTCCAGTCCAGGGTTCCTCTGCTGACATTTCACCGGCAGCAATCGCAAGGCTGAACCTGGAAACTGCTGTAATACTGTTCACGTGTACTGAACTGGGGATCCAAATTCCTTGGATACTTTGCCTAATTCCACATCATACAACCCAGCATGATACCCACTGAGTAGGCCTTCCAGTGCTGGAACAAGTTTTCATCTTTTGGTCTCACACTGTGCCCAGCAAAGTACCTGCGAATCCAGAATTGATTTATTGCTTGAACATTCTGTGTCCATATGTCACAGATACTTGAGTTGTCCAGTATTTTTAACTGATGAGTTAATTCTTGTAATTTTTTAAAACATGTAGGATAATTTATTATAAGTGTAATATAAATATAATGCTAATCCTGATACTTGATAGCTTCCTTCTTTTCTCTTTCCATTGCTGTGAAATGCAAATAACTAGGTTTGGAGGATTAAATGAAAAAGCATGTATCAAACTGTCTAGCATGGGTTTAGCATATAGTAGTCTCTCAAAGAATATTTTGATTAAATAGTCATTTTGGTTACTATGAAAGGAGCTAAGCTTTCCCATCTTGACTTTAGTGCTAAGGAGAGGTTCCCAGCAACTTTACACTGCCCTCGATTATGTCAGTTGATGACTTAGAACAAATAAGGAAATCTGTTAAAAAAAAAAAATCCTGGTCGGTAAATCTTTTCATCCCTCCCTGCCAATTTTCTTCACATCCTAAACTATGCATCAGCGAGTTGCAAAAGCGCTTGATTCCCTTTTAGTCCAGAGATCTCATGTCTAATAACATAGCTGGTTCCAATAAAGAAAGAATTCTAAAATTTCTTTCCATAGAAAATTTGTGACTCTTACAGCTACATGGTTTATAATGTTTTAAGAAGTAACCCAGAAATCAACCTAATGAACTCGTGTCCCCCCAGTAGTCATTTATTTATGCCCAAGAGAGGAAGCAGAATATAGTCGTAGAAGTGTAGCAGTAGGTCAGAGCTCTGGTCAGAGCACATGGTCAGAGCACATGGTCAGGGTGCATACTTGAGATGTTTCTCTCACATCAGTATTTCTCTGTCCTTTCTCTCTCTCTCTCTTCCCCCCCCCCACCCTCCCACCGCTTCCTCTCTAAAACAAAAATATCTTCAGGTAAGGATTTTTTAAAAATCTGTAGCCCTGGCTGGTGTGGCTTAGTGGATTGAGTGCTGGCCTGCTCTCTGGAGGGTTGTAGGTTCGATTCCTGGTTGAGGCACATGCTTGGGTTGCGGGCTGGGTCCCCTGGGGGTGGGGCATGCAAGTAGCGGCCACTCATTAATGTTTTCTCCCCTGCCCTTCCCTTCTTCTGTATCTAAAAATAAACTTTAAAAAAAAGTCTCTAGTGTTACTGGCTAGGCCAGGGCTGGTACTCCAGTCTTCTGAACTTCACTGTAGTAATCTTTTGGCAACATCGTCCTGTTGAATTAGATCACATCACTCCCCAGCTTGAAGCCCTTCAATACCTTCCTACTTGGTTGGGAATAAAAATCCCAGTTCTGTATGGTGGCCTACAGTGCGAGGCCATGCATGCCCTGGTTCTTGCCCAGCCCTCCATCCTCCTCTGTTCCTGCTCTGTTTGCTTAGTACAGATTTCACCACTGCCTGCTGTAGGAAATGCATTCCATATTGCAATCCAGTACTTGTGTACACACAGCACCGGAGCAAAAGTTTGTTAAAGAAACTTAACTCTGAAAACCTATGACTCCCTGATGCAATGCCCCACAAAATCGTTATCACAACCTACAAACATGACCCACTGGTTAAAAAACATAACCAGCCCCACACTGCCTCTTTTATTTTGTTCAAATAAACTCAGTCTGTTTCTATCTGGGGACCTTCCCACTTCTCTCTGCCTAGAAGGCTCTTGCCCAGGTAGTGTGCGTGGCTAGATCCTTTTCTTTTACATCTTGGTTTAAATGTATCTGAGAGGCCTTTGATGATTATTAAATAACCTCCCTGTCTTGTTTATTGTGTCTCCTTTGCAGGTGTTACTGTAACCTGTAATTACCTCATTTCATTTGTTTGCCTGCTTATTGTTCATTCCCTGCAGCAGAGTGTGTATAGTCTGGGGCAACCTGTGGACATTGGGGGCAAGCTCAGACTCGCCTCTGTATACCTAGCACATTTCTCAATACATACTTGGTGAATGAATGAATATAGCATTGCTTAAATATATACATAGGGAAATTAGTCAATGTCAGTGTTAAGATCTCTCCTAACAGTCTTCCCTCCCCCACCAAAATCTGGCAAAGAGCAACCCTCACAATATGTCTGATAAAGACAGCGTTATTTCTAAGCAAAACCCTGTATGGCATTAAATACAGGGTTTGTCCTTAAATATACACACTTGGGTATGTATGAATGCACGTGAGTGGGTTATCTGCATAGCCTTTGTAAATATTAATTAATTTCAATACTTGTGCCCTGGCTACTGTGGCTCAGTGGATTGAACTTAGCCTGCAAACCGAAGAGTCAAGGTTCGATTCCTGGTCAGGGCAGATGCCTGGGTTATGGGCCAGGTCCCCGGTTAGGGGTGTGCAGGTGGCAGCCGATTGATGTTTCTCTCGCACATTGATGTTTCTCTTCCTCTCTTTCTCCCACCCGTCCCCTCTCTAAAAATAAAATTTATTTTTTTTTTTAATTTAAAGACTTGCATGGAAAGGGAAGATAAAAACTTTTCAAGACTTTGGTCAAGTTTCAGCTGTTTCCTGAAATATAGCATCAAGTGATTAAAGAGTTTTGGATTTGCCTATGTTCTCCTTTTCGAGTTTACTTTTTAGAAATGAACTTAGGTGTTCAGAACATCCACTTTCCCTTTTTTCCTTTCATTTCAGTCTTTCTATTGTCATCTCAGAAGAGGCCTAAGGCAGACTTAAGCAAAGTCAGAGTCTTTCTAAAGGAAAATATTATTTGCAAGTGTATCGGTTTAAGCATTGGCTGTACTCCAGAAACTCTTTGGAGGTAGATTGTTGGGAATTCCAAGGACATTTTTGTCTCCATAGAAATTAAATTACCAGTTAAGATAGATTTGTAGCTGGCAAAAAGAATCAAACACAAGTCCATTATTGTTTTATTCATTATTAGTGATCCTTTTTCTCTCATTGTTTCTGTGAGAAATTCCACGCTGAGTCAAGTAAGTAACATTTCCTGTTCTCTGTTCCTTCTTCTTGTGGACAAAGCAAGAAACTAATCCCTGTGACAATCATTTATTCGGTTCCTCAAATACTCAGTATGTCCCTAATTCTGAAACAGTGTGTCGATATTAGAGAAACAGCTGAAGAAGGACAGAGCCCCTTCCTGAGCTACTAGAATCCAGTAGGGGCGCTGAAACAGAGCCAACAGCTAAAGACAAATTGTAGTAAAGGTGCTACAATCGTTTCTGTAAGAGTCAAACACAAGGACAAATCACATCTGGTTGGGGTGGCTTAGTTAGAGTTAGACAAAATTTCACAGAAAAAGTGGTGTTTCTCATGGACTTTGGAAGATGGGGGCACTCGGCCCAGGCGGATCCAACAGTGTGAGCTAAGAGGCTGAAGCGAGAGGGCGGTACGGGGACATGTTCTGGAAGCCACAGAAGTCCGCCCCGAGGAGCCTGGGGCCGGTAAGCACACCGCGCCGTGAGCAGTGGCAGGCCCCATAGTGCAGAGGGCCTTGGGCACCCATGCGGTGTGTTTGTGCTTGAGTGAGTTTGGAGACCTGTTCAGGGGGTTGTGGGCTTACTTAGTTCAGGTCAGGTTTTCTGACTTTACAAGTCAATGAATTCATTTCAATGAATTTGGATACTACCCAAAATGTCAGAGGAATCCCCCATGAGCTTATCATCCAGAGATAGCTCTGCTACCAGTGGATGCATTTTTCCCTGACATTTTTTGATTCATTAAAAAAAATAGTTAAAAACCATTCTGTATGTAATTTCTTGCTGCTTTTTTTAACTGACAT